TCATTGTTGGGTAATGCTATAGCCTCCACCCATTTTGAAATGTAATCGACCGCCACTAAAATATACTTGTTGCCAAAAGACCTCACAAATAGTCCCATGAAATCTATACCCCAAACATCAAACAACTGAACTTCTAAGATAGGTAATTCATGCTTACTTGATACCCCTCCTTGCTTTTGGCAGGGTATTGATTAACGTTTCATTCATACCTCATCAAATTCTAGGTGCAAACAATTTTTAAGCAGTATAAAACCCAACAAATGAGTTGGGGACGAATCCACAGGGAGTGTTGCGTGTCCAAATTCAATTACGAAGTAAAAACGTGATCTAACTAACTATAGGAATAGACATTATCGAAAAAGACATGTAAACAAGTCAAATAAGGTGACAACAAATGTTAGATGGGGGTTTTGATTTACAATTATCAACTACAATGCAATCACACAAAACTAAAATAACAATATAGAGAGGAATTCTTGGGATATGATTGATTATAGGCAAATTTCCCTATATGGGTAATTGAAACTACTAATAAATAGCTAAATATCAATGGGTAGGCTAGACTATGAGTGAAATAGCTTTCTCTGGAAAAACTACTTCGAATCAAGTGATTTCTCTCGAACATCAACAAGCTTAACTACTAAGAACAACCCACAACTTTAATACATCTTCTCTCTCGAGCAAGATGGGTAGGATTGGGTTTAGGATTCACTCTCTCAAGCTGAACCCAAATCAACCCAATACCCACAAACCATTAATCAAAAGCTTTGGTTCCAAAACCTCTCTCTCGAGCAAGCTAAGAATAGAAAGTTAGAATTGCATTTGCAACTACAATTCATAAGTAAAAACAAAACTAATGATTAAACCCACTTCAATATAGCATTTAAATTAGTAATAAGCAATATGCATAAGCTAATTCAACCCATAATCACACCCCAAGAATTAGGGTTTTAGCCACACATCATAAAAACAGAAAAACAATTACCAAATACATTAGTCATGATCTGGGTAAGAGTATTCAAGCCTTTACAATGTTCCAAATTGCAGAAAATTAATAACCCACTTGCAAAATCCTCCAAAATTGTAAAATTCAAACTCAAAAATGCAGAGAAAACTCTAAGTCTAGAATGGAAACTGTAATATCTTGGAGAGGACTCCTCAAAATGACATTTAAAATGCAATTTATAGTTTCCCAAAAAATAGCCACGAACGGTCATTACGCGAGGTAAGTCAGGTTCGCCCAGTGGTTCAGCGAACCGCCCTTACCTCTCTTCTATCTCCTTTGTGCATTGACTCTCAGCATCCTCACATCCTGTGACTTTGGGCGATTAGTCTTGTCATCGCGGAACTGATCAGGGTTCGCCGACTGACCCTTTCCTGTCGGCGACTTGTTTTCTTCCTTCAAGGCTGACACACTGTAACTTTAGGAGGACTGGATAGCCACTCGGTAAGTCGCCAAGTGGTCTTGGCGATCACCAGTCTCCCCTTTCTCCACTTTTTCAGCTTATTTTGTTCTTTTTTGCTTGTTAGTATCCTTACCTTGCTCCTTAATACCCCATACCTGAATATCAAGGCTTTAAAATCAATTTATAACATAAATTAGGCATTTGAGGACACGAAAACTATCAAAACAACGCCCTAAATGAGTCCAAATCTAGGACTCATCAACACCTCCAACTTAAAGTTTTTCTTGTCCTCAGTAAAACTCAAGATCAGCAGTTCAGTAAGGATGTCTCAAATAGTGTTGCATAAGACTCAACATAAATGCACAAAACAAGGTTCAAACTACTCATACAATGATCAATTGTGCACTCAAAGATTCAAATTGTTATTCACCATTATCAAAGATGCTGAAGCTCACAATACTTGCTTCAAATGCAAGTTCAAGCTCAACAAAGGTACTCAAATGCCCTCACAACACAGATGATTTCATATTCACACAAAATTTCTCAACAATTAAAAATCTCAGAATCACATACAACTCTCACACTCATAAAGATGAACAGATGCATGACTTCACCCATAGGCTTAGTGGCTTCTAACTTCATGAAGTATGGTTTGAACATCACTTTCCTTCTTTTCATAATCATTTCAAACATGTTTATAATCTACCCCATTATTCAACTTCATAAGAACCACCGGATACCCCATTCCGTTTGCAATTTCCACTACTCTATTTCACAACTTTTTTGGTCTTTTTCTTTCTTCCTTTTCAATTCTTTTTTTTCTTTTCTCGCTTTCTTTTTTTTTGCATGGAGGGGTTCCATCTTTTTCAAATCGATCATACAAAAGGGGGATTACTCACACTTTTTTTACTTTCCTTCACTTTTCACCACACCCCTAACATAGACTTTTGGCCTAAGTTGTCTATTCAAACAAACCATACTTCATGAAAGTTATGGGTGAATGGATAAAGAGAGGTCATAATTGCTCAAGTTTCTTCCAAGAAAAATGGGTAAGGCTCAGAATATGACAAGCAAGGTTCACACATCTCACAAGGTTGGCCACAAAAGAGGTATATTGTCAAATTGTTTTCACTCTTCAAAATTGTTGCCTAAGATCATTTCAAGTTCTTGCATCACTCGATCAACCGGACCAACGGGGAAAATTCTAGGTGTCATCACACACAATGTTCAAAGTAATCTCATCACACCAGGCATTGGTACCAATATCGAACAAGACTCCACACCTTCTAGCTAGCGCGCAATGTTCATCACAAGAGACTCATTCGACAACCGGCTAGTCACAACGAGATGCTAAAAGTTCATATATTGTCTATGCAACTTGGTTTGCCTCATCGTAGCCGCTCATTCATTTCATTCAATTAAGAGTACTATTCAAGTCATCGGTATTGATCACAACCAACACTCAAATTAGCTCAAGAATAGCCACAATCACATGCAAAAGAGGTGGCAAAATTTTAAAATTAGGTTCCAAACCATTTTTCAGTCAAAACAATGGGCCACAAGCTAAAACATCCACAAGATCAATATCAAAACACACACACATATATATATATATATATCAGCAAAATAAGCCCAATATTCACAAACAAGTTAAAATCACAAGAGGTAGGTGTGGAAATATCTCACCCACCTAACAAAAACAAGCAGTTGTCCTCAAATGCAACTAAAACAATAATAATATATCACAAAATAACATAGAGGGAGGGGAAAAATCTTGACAGGCTAAGCCTGGGGTGACGTCTGCATAGTCACTCCATCTTTGGGGGCATTAGTTGGAGTTGCACTGGAGCCTGCCACAGTAATATCTATCAAGGAGACCTGTCTAGCTTTCTCGAGCATAGCACCCTCCAAGTCGGCAAAATCCTTATAAACAGCCGCATCTCACACCTCAAGTTGCTCCTTAGATGTCTCGGCCTCAGACTTATCATCTGCAGAATCCTAAATAGTAGCATCTCTGGTGGTAGCCAGAGGTACCTCAACACAGGCTGGAACCTCAACACCCGAATCATCTGGGATCTCCACCGTCCCAAATAGCGAAGTAAAGTCTATTGACTTCAGATGGTCCACATCCTTCCTCAGCTCAGAAACATCGGCTTTCAAGGTTGTCACGTTAGTCGTAACACCCTTCCCTCTCTCACTAACCTCTACTCTCGTTGTGAGAGCATCAATGGAAGACCTAAGAGGTGTTAGTACAATAGTAATAGCTCTCTCAATCATCCAGGGCACCACAACCTCTAGTCGGGAAGCCTGCACATCGACAAAATGGGCTAGGTGTCCTATCTTGAGAAGCATGGCTTGGGTGATCGGAGGTTTGGAGGCAGTAGAACCAGCGGTAGACCTAGCAGGAGGGGGAGTAGAGGAGGTGCCCGGAGTGCTAGAAGTAATAGAGCTCGAGGTAACTGAAGGCCCTGGAGCTGGAGTACGCAAGGCTGACTCTGCAGGTATCGTATAATAACTACCTCCGAGGATATGTACACCGGAGCTGCTCTCCTTCTATCAGCGTCATCCCGTGTGTACTCGGCCCTCTTTGTGCCGGATGTCAGTGGAAGATGTGGGAGTAACCTCAACATCCCTTTTCTCATCTAGAGGAACCCCTACCCGATGACACAACTTGTGATCAGTACTAGATAGGGAAAGAGCGTATGGTGCTGGTTGGCCCTCATATCCATCTCTTACTCAATGATTAGCCTCAAATTGAGGCTCTTCCTGGCTATGATACTCTCGAGGTAGGCCACCTTTGGGTGGCGGAGGATAGATTCGTTCTGAAATAGCATGATCGAACTACTAATAGATCCAAACCAGTATCTCGCTGCCACATTTAGGACCTTCTCCTCTATAGGCTCTCCGGCCTCAATCCACCTCGGGGTGGTGTCAGAAATCAGGGGTGCCAGTCAACCCTTAAGGTCATCCAGAGTCTATTTAGTAATCAAACTCTGGTACTCGTGCATGAAATCAGTAGCCCTATCAAGTACAGTGTTGATATCATCGTTGTTGCATCTAACATTCCTTCCTCGGATCATCACAGACTTTACCGATCAGAAGGCACTTGCGTTCTTCTTCCCCTGGGGTACCAGATTACTGTAGGCAGCGTAAAACTCCCCGACCCAGGTTGTAATGTATGGGCCACGGGGCTTGGTGAAGATCTCGAAATGATGTAATCGGAGAGTGTCCCACAAATCTGTGTATTTTTCCACTACACCATCCATGGACAATCTCTTTTCTTCCAAAATGGTCCTTAATCCCTTAGACTTTAACCGGTTGAGTAACCGGGGAGAAGGACCCCTGAACTGGTGGAGCTGGAACCACCGTCAGTGCTGGAGCTGGCACTGAATCAAAGGCAGGAGCCTCTGCTCGTCGAGCCTGTAGTAAGTGATTATCATCCGGCTCAGAGAATGAAGCCTGACAATCAAACGATTCTCCCTCGCTGCCGGAGTTGTGCTCTAGTGTCTTAGTTATGGGCGCTTTGCCCTTTCCCTTGCCTCCCTTTGGAGGTACATCTTCCCTTCGTGTTGGAAGCAGTTGCTTCCTCATTTATCATGATTCCTCGTGCCCTCTTTCGTGGTGGCATGCCACTATCATCCAAGCTTGTTCTAGCCATATCTGCAAAACACATAGAAAAGTGTTAGAAATAGTTCAAGAAAAGTGCAGACATTAAGTTGTACAAAAATTTGTTGAACCAGCCGACGAGTCACCGAGTTACTTTGGCGAGCTAGATCAGGCTCACTGAATGTACCAGCGCAAAAATATTCCAGAATAAATATAGGTCGATAATGTTTAGGGTCATTCGGTGAATCACCGACACCAATCGGTGAGCTAGGAGTAACCCGCCGAAAGTTACAAAGCATTTTAAGGGTTCGAGGCGCAGAAAAGGTGATCAAGAAGACCTTCCGGTGAGTCGCTGAGTGAACTCGACGAGCTCAGGCATCTCGCCAAAATTGACAGAAAAAAATCAAACAATCTTGGAAATTAAGGGCAATAAAATGGGGCTTTCGGCAAACCGCTGAACCACTCGGCAAGTTCGACGCGACTCACCCTACGTCCCAACGTGCCAGTTTTAAACCCCAAACTTCAAAATCAAACCTTCTGCCCACGAATTCAAAATCAAACACAAAAACTATTCAATTAAAAGCAAACCCATACGACCCATACCCTCGGGGTACTCAGACTTCCCCCGATTTGACCAAAATTGGTCATTTGATGACTTTTTCCCATAAGAATGATGTCAAACGCTCCATCATTGGGCAAATTACATCATTTGGCACAATTCGGAGTTACTTAGACTTTACCCCACTAGACCCAACACAAATAAACTGCAACTCAACAATTTAGTACCATTTTTAACAAACAAGACACGGGAATCGAACAGTTTTAATCATTTAGGTACACATTTCGAATCAAAACGAGCAAACCAACACATTACACATGGTTAAAGAAATAACCCAACATCAAACAACCAAACATTTACCTATTGCATTCGAGTTCAACCACAAAATTAAAGTACGGGGTTCCAAAAACAAACCTTAATGCTGAATTTCAAGTTTGAATAGCTAGGCGGTGAAGTTCTCCAATCCCGAGCATGAAATAACACAAAAATTGATTAAAAGCAATAAAATATGGAAGATCAAAAGTTTGGGCGAGAGGGTATAAGAGTTAGAAATGAGAGAAGGTGAAGGACTTTTAAATTTTAAACCTTTTGGCCTTTAAAACCTTTCAGTTTGTGGCACCTTCGGTGAAGTAAGTTGTGCTCGCCGACCCACTCGGTGATGCGCCGAGTGGTATTTCCCTCCCCGAGTTTTACAGGACCTCCAGCAAATTTAGTGGTTCAAACGGCGGACAAAATTGGGCTCGCCAACCTGTTCGGTGAGTCGACGATTAAGCACTTAGCTCACCGAGTTTTACAGAGTTCCCCTTCAAGCCTGGTTATTCCAACGGTGGTCCAAGTTGGGGCTCACCTACCTGTTCAGGGTGACATCGACTGGACTTTGGGCTCGCCAAACTACCCATTTTCCAACATTCTTCACTTTTCAACTTGCAAAATAAAGACCCATTATTCAAAATCAAAAAATAAAGTATTAAAAACTCGGGTTACCTCCCAAGAAGCTCCTTAGTTAACGTTGTGGCACGACGAGGATACCAAATCAAGCTTCATTTTTGGGATTTTCCATTATTTCATTAAGCAACCCTTCAACTTAGCTGAGAATGCGTGAAAGAATATCTTCTGTACGGCCACCTTCGGATTGCTTGGGCTTTTGACGCTCATGAGGAGGAACATACCTGTCCTTGTCCCCCTCTCTCCCCTTCCATGTGGCATTACGATCACGCCAATCTCTGTCATGGTCTCTCTAGCCCTCATTTCTATTCCAACCTTGATTTCCACTCGATCTTGGGTAGTTGGAACGATAACCTCCTCCTTGATTGGCTAGGAAATTAACTTCCTAATTATATAGTGCTTCAAATTGTGCTTCATCGGGGTTTACTCCACCAATACCCATGACATTAACACTCTTTATACCAACACCCATGACATTTTTAGCCAAGATATTCAGCTGGGTCATCATTTTGGCAATTTTTTGGTCTCTCTTTTTATCCTTTTCGATCTGCTCTTTTGTCATTTTAAAAGTGAGAGGAGAGACTTGGTCTTCACGAGTGTACCATGCCCAATTGATCTTGGTCATGTAATCAAGGAGTTGAGATACTACTTCATAGGGTTGTGCATTAAACCACCTAAAGAAAGTTGATCAGCCATTCCTTTGTTCACCAAATCTAGGCTCCTATAGAAGTATTGCAGCAGTACATTATTTGGAAGTCCATGAGTAGGGCATTGCAACACCAACTTCCTAAACTTCAGCCATGTCTCGTGGATTGGCTCACCTTCCAAACATTGAAAACCTTGGATGTTATCTCTAAGTGTCATCATCTTCGATGGGGGGAAGGATCTCACTTGGAATGTTGTGATCAGCCTATCCCAAGAGGTGATGGAGTCTCTTGGTAACTCACATAACCATTATTATACATACCTAATTATAAAGTCGTGAAAGTGATCCACTATTAATTTAAATGTTATCTTCTTTAACCACCAACTAAATTAATTATTAAAACTACCCCACTAAATTCATAATTGTAGTTACGAATAGTGAAAAATACCCATGTAAAATCTATCGGAAAGTATTTCATGAAATAAAAAGCTCTAGTACTCAAAACGACCAAATGGGTCGTTACATTGGATACCAATTTAACTATCGTTTGTCCTCGAACGATCAAATGAAGGCGAGGGTAAGGAAGGGTACCTGAATCGATAAAAAGGTGCGAATATATTTCATCCATATATGCCTCACTACAACCGATCGATTCTTCCACTGAACCTTGATAGATGCAATCTCCTTTGATCTCAACTTGCGGACCTCCCTATCTAGAATAGCTACATGCTCCTCCTCATAAAACAGATTCTCATCAAGCAGGACTGAATGCCAACGAATGATGTAGTTTCCATCACCATGATATTTTTTCAGCATAGACACATGAAATACCGGGTGCATTCCTGACAACCCTTGAGTCAAGGCCAATTCATAGGCCACCTCCCCTACACGCCTAAGAACTTCAAATGGGCCAATATACCTCGGCCTAAGCTTACCTCGCTTATCCAACCGCATCACACCCTTCATGGGTGAAACCTTCAGCAAGACTTGCTCACTCTCCTTAAACTTCATGTCCTTGACCATCCGATCTGCATACTCTTTCCTTCTGCTCTGAGTTGCTAGAAGCTTTTCCCAAATGAATTTTCACCTTCTCTGTTCCCTCAAAAGATCAGTTTCCTAGGGTCTCACCTCAAATGCATCAAACCAACAAATGGGAGACCTGCATCTCCTCTCATACAAAGCCTCAAATCGGGACATATCAATACTCAATTGTAACTATTGTTTTTTGTAAACTCAACTAACAACAAAACTATTCCCAATAACTACCCAAGTTAATCGTACATACGTCCGCAACATGTTCTCAAGGACCTTGACACAACCATCAGGATGAATCTCTTCTCACATAACCATGATAATATCTTGAATCAATACTGGCTATAACTAGAACTGAACCTGAACCAACCACCACAAACTCATAATGCACAAACTATCACAAATCTTATCTGTATTTCCTTCTCACAACATAAACTTTCCATGAGCTTAAGTTATAAAAAATTGATCTTTAGATATCAAGTACTCATCAAGGTAGAATCAAACTTATCTAACCCAACGAAGGAATGATCAAGTAACCACCAATCGAGTGATACACCAAAGCATTCAGAACCTCTAACCACACTGTCGAAATGCTAAATTAGCAATTTTGATTATAAATAATCTTTAAAAATTGTAGAGCTAGACCCAATGGTCCCCAATTCAACCACACATAATTGAAATATGAGCTCGATAAATATATGAATATTAAGACTGTCGGACAACTGTAAATATTCATGGTAGCTCTTCTATAATTTCTCATAAGTAAGGTGGTATATATAGAACCACTGGAATACTTCAACAGCTCCAAGACACCACCAAATATTCCATCTGAGATAACCAAGTCTGCCTAAACATCCTTACCCAAACAAGATGACATCGTAGGTCGGTACACCCGATCCACCACTAGGGATCCACCAACAAAAATGAAAACACGCGTCGGCATAGCTAGTGAATCATACTCTAAACCATATACAAAAGTAAATACATGGTCACATAAGAATGTTGACACCAAGGTTGAATACCACTAAATGTTTCCTCTAAAGAGATCATATCAAACATTTACATTTATCTAACTCCATTTATTTGATATTTAGCTACCCACAATCCACCGGTCTGATCCCCATTACGATCATACTTATACTTTATTTATCATATTCCACATACTCTTCACATCATTCAATCGAAGCTCACACTCTCAATACTAACCAACATTATGACCCAAAACATGCATAAGTCCTTCCATATGCTCAATACCCGATGCAATTTATTGTTTCTTACCTTACAAATTCATACCTTGACAAAATATACCACTACAAATGTAGACTTACAATGAAAAAAAAGTATTAAATTGTGAACCAAACTGTGCAACTCAATCCCCTTATCTAACAACATTAGCTCATACCTTGAAGATTATTATGAATTCAAGTATCTTAGATTATCATTGATCGCCTCTCCATCAACCTTACCATATCCTTTGCTAAAAATTCAACAATACTCATTACCAAACTCAAAAGCACAAAAGAACTTATCGTCACACTCGAGCTAAACGACTGTACACTCTTTTCTCAAGTCTTATCCAATAGTTTTTAACCAATCTGAAGAGCCCATGACACGATTACCATAACCAGAGCAAAACAGATGAAACCCCGCGTCTCTAAACCCAATTCTCAACCCCTCTGAAGATACCTCTTTAACCCATGGAATCAGAGAAATTATTCTTGCTCTCATCTCATTCTGAATGCTACATTATATCCCACTAATTTTTCTTTCCATTATGACTATAGCTCTTTTAAATTCTCTTAGAGTGGTGTCCCACCATCTCCTAAAATTTTCCATCTAACCACATTACTCAACAAATAGTATAAAAGCACAACCTTTGATAATCCCAAGTCATTGTTACTATATAAAATTAGTTTAACCAAATATATTCAATATATAGTTGCATCTCAATCACAATCCATCACGAACTCTTATTACCAACGTGCTCAGTTAGCCTTTCCCATCACCACAAAGTCAACCTATTCATCGACATGACTCATCTAACTCAATTATACCAATCAAATCCAAAGGACTAAATCAATTTCATACGCACTTTCTTACTAAAATATTCAATTGCTTTCACCCAAGTATCCTCACTGGGAATTTCTTTACCCATAATCTTGTCATTCCAATATCAATCAACTCTTTCGGAGCTTAAGATAAAGTTACCAGTCCTCCCTTAGAATCCTCAAGATACACTTCAAAATCTAAATACATTAATACCGTACCAAATATCCACCACTAAAATCTTCCTTAAGACAATGTTTAACCAAACATCCGTTGTAACACATTAGTTGGTTTCTCAAATGTAAATGTACCACCGAATCTCATTATTTGAACATGTCATACAACTAATAATTCCATAAGTAGTTATTATTCCCATATGACAATCAACATATTCATTTTCATATAACACTAGAACCACAGTGTGAAAGTCTATTAGATAAATCACATATCATACCTATCGAGAAGATCGTACCCAAATAGCCCACACATTTTTACCAATTGAATAACTATGAAACATTATCAAATCCATTCTATAGCTAACCCAAGAGATTCACATTCTTTCTTAGAGCAGGTTGATAACAAAAGTAACACACTTCATAACTCTAACCAAGTAAGCATCGGTACTATTCTAGTAGTCATATCATGACCCTCTTTGATGTATAATCAGTCTATGAAATCGTGGTAGAGATCTAATGATAAGTCCACAATTTGGACTCATTTAGGGCTATATTTTGATAGAATTACTATCCTCAAATTCATATTTTATCTTAATATCTGATGAAAACCCTTAAGTTTTAAGTATTTGAAGTTTGAGGGAAAGCATGGACACTACTTAGCAAAAAGGAACAAAAGCAACTGAAAGAATGAATAAATGAAGATCTGAGAATCGCCAAACCCATTTGGTGAGTTGCCAAAAGGTCTTATCCTCAAATTTTGTTCCAGTATGCTGAGCCTTGAAAGAACGGATCAAATCGGTGGTGAAAAGGAGCAGTCAGTGTATCACCGAGCAGTTCCATGAAACTGTACTATGTCCCCCAATGATTCAAAACATGACGATGCTGCAAGCTAATGCAGGACGGCGATGAAACCTACCAAATGAAGGATTGCCAAGTTGATTGGCGATCTCGACTAACAGCGCCGAATGATCCACTGCAGCACAGATTTTTGAAAACTATAAATAATTGTTGAGAGTTGTAGCTTAATATCAGATTTTTAATATATAATTTTTACATAGAATTTTGAGTTCTAAGTTTGGAGAGGGTTTTGAAGAACTTGAAGATTCAAAGGGTTTCAACTCCAAGAATTTGGACTTGGGTCTTGTGGATTCTTCACTCTTTGCTTGTTTTAAGACTTAAATCTTCATACCCATTTGAATGCAAACTCATATTGGTATAAATATTTATATCTTTTACATGTGTAGCTAAAACCCCAATTCTTGGGGTGTGATTTTGTGAATATAGGTTAGATTATCTCTTATGTCTTGCTTGTTGATGGTTTATTTGTTGTGTAAATGTGATTTCATTTAGTAGTTGTGGTGGAACTTAATGAAATTGTAGTTTCAAATACGATTCCACCTTTGTGTTTTTGGCTTTCTCAAGAGAGAGGTCGTAAAACTAAAACTACTAAATTGATGGCCGGTGGGAGTGGGTCGACATGAGGTTCAGCTCGAAATAGTGAACCAAAGTCCTTCTCCCACACACTCAGCTCGAGAGAGTAAGTAGGCTAAGGCGAAGGTTGTTCTTCATGTGGCAAGTGGGTGTCCAAGAGGAACCCATTTGATTCAGGGTAAGTTGCTCGAGAGAGATTTTACCCCCACTATAGTCTAGCCTAGACACAGATACTCAACGGATTTACTATCAAAAGCATGTACCCAATAGTCTAGTCTAACCTGTATTCCTATCACATCCCAAGAATCACGTCTCCTTGATTAGTACTCCTTTTATTTTTGTTATTTTTGCTTACTTGTCACAAATCCCCATTGATAATTGACGCCTGTGTCACCCTTTAAATTTAGTAAGTTTATATTCGATAATGTTTTTAGCTATGACTAATTAGAACTTAGTTTTATTTTTCGATTAATTCTCAAGCCCACTCCCTTGGGACTCGACCTCAACCCTTGGTTGGGTTACTTTACTATTGTACGATCATAGACACTTTGCATTGGAAGTTGTGTCTTGATTACGCAAACATCATCTAACCTCAATTTTATGCAACATAATTTCATAATTTGTTAAGCAACCCATACATGTTATGACAAATTTAGTAACTATATTTTCCAAAGTAATGATGTTCATTATCTAGTCGTCCCTTACGAAAGTTCTTGAATGTTGTTGCATTGGCAAAGTCATATGGATTCACCCCCTCTACCTACATAAAAAAATCAACCACTTCCTGAAAAGATTTTACTGAAGCAACCACCTATAAAGCTTGAATCTACAAATCAAACCCCAATCCATTCACAAAGCAGCGAATCCTCTCTTCCAAACTGAAGCAAAGCTGATTCACATAACTAGATAAAGCACAAAAAATAGCCTCATAAGATGCAAAAGATATCTTTCGTTGCTCTATGTTTAGGAACTCATATTTCCTCATATCCCTTAAAGTCTGGGGAATATACTTCCCCATGAAAAAATTTAAAAAAAATTCCCACATCATAGGTAGTGCCTTTATTGGTCGGCACGAGACCGCCACCACATTTTGGCGTCTCCCCAAAATTGGTATGTCACAAACTCAAAATCAAGCCGAGATATTTATCTTATGAAGTAACTCATGGCAATCAACAAGTAAATCATAAGCATCTTCATCTTCAGTACCCATGAAGAATGGGGGTTTCAACTTTAAGAACATAATAAAGAGATCATGCTGGTCACTAGTCATTACAGGCATGTAGCCTATCAGAGAAGCATGCCTATTTCAAAGGACGCATCCTCTCTTTCTGGTGTTGG